CCCATTGATTCCTCCTTGTCGCACCCAATTTTAAGGACAAAACTAGATACACACCATATGTGAGCCCAGAAAGTCAAATCTTACATATAGCCACAAATAAAGGTAATATCAATAGACAATGCTCAATATATAATGTACTTAGTATAAAGAATATAACCTTAGATAGCAAACAGCGGGAAGACAACTCCGATCTTTGGATGAAGACTCCAATCCACAGGGACAACTGACTGGTTGATCACAAGCCTAACTCCTCCAGACTAATAATCTAGTACCCATTCGGGATTTTTCCAAAGATTTAAAAAGTAAAGCAAGCGTAAGTACATGTCATACTCAACAAATATAGCATGGGGTTTATGAGGCTCAAAAGGCTGACACTAGTTTAACTACGATTAGCTTTTAATTGTCACAATTTTAGCAAAGGAGTAGCAACAAGTTTATCACAAGCCCATATAAACACATGATCAATTAAACATGAATAATGAATAGCATAAACAGTAATCATTAGTGAGCATCTTCATCATCCGTATCATCAGTGTTTATCATCTATTCCGTAAATGCTCCAAGGCCGCTCGTGACCGTGAGAACGGCTGATATACCAGTTTTACACTCTGCAGATGTTGTACACTTTCACTGTGAGTTGTGATTTACCCTTTCGCCCGAGGTGATCAGCCTCTTGACCCACTACGAAGGAAGGTCGGCAGGGTTCACTATAAAGCCTTTCAAAGGTTCGTCTAACAAGTTAGGACCATTAGATTCACTTGGCAAACAGATATAGGAACCCCCTATCGAATGGCATAATTCCATCACGGCTATACACATAAGAGTAGAAGTTGTCCTATACCCGATTCGACAAGTCATTCTTACAACAATAAAGGTAACATCTAACAAGCTAGAAAAGGTCCTCATACTGAGCTAAAGCCAGAGCCATATAGCCCTCATGGTTGTACTGTAAGTCCCGGATGATCACTTACAGATAAGTCCTTAGGGAGAGTAATCTAGAGCACCATAAAAACAGCCCAATGCTCTAGCCCCCTTGTTCCATGTTGCTAAAAAGCATTTTTAATGTTTATTGCATATATCATTAATCAAGTTACAAGATCATGGCTTTAGTTTGAGCACTAGCATAATACTACCCAATGCAATAACTCATAGGTGACAAGGAATCCAGGATTTTAAATAGCTAGGAAAATTAGTATGGTTACCAAGGTAGACACATGCATATAATTAAAATGATATTAAGGTGAATAGGACAACAAGAAAGATCCTATACTATACTTGCCTTAAAATTAGATCCCTCTTCCAATCCAAATCTTCAAAGATCTGCTTCTTGATTCAACACGTAAAGCTCATCGACTTGACAAGATCATAAAGCACCACACAAGTATCCATGCAATCATACATGAAGCAAATAATAGATCTAAATTAGAATAGTACACCAAACATAAAATCAAGATGAAAAGTTTATAAAACGAATCTATGTCACGCTACGAACACACAGACGTGAAAAAGCACACTAATCGGAGCTACGATGAAAAAATTACAACTACCAAAAGATTTATTTTAAAAAGAAAACTATAGGCTTCATTTATTTTAACTATAAATATTTTATAAATATTATAAATTAAATTAAGTCAAATTTAGATTTAAATTATAAAACTAAAGTAAAACAAAACATATTTTATTTATAAAATCCAGTTGCATAATTATTATTCAAATTAAAGTGTAAACCATGAAATTATAGAAATAGTGACTTGATAAACATTGTTACAAACGTGTAGATCTCATTGCAATAAATCGAACCAACTTGAACAAGTCAAATCAGAACTAAAACATAAAATATATGGATTTAACAAGATTTCCTTTAATAAAATAATAGATTAAATTTAACCTCGAATTTTAAAAGTTGAAAACATATCTAATAGTGGTATAAACATGCAGACAATGTAAATACGAACCTAACGCAAGTTGAACGGTCGAATCAAAGTTAAAACAGAGAAACTATGAACAAAAGAGTTTCAGTGGCAAAACTGTGAATATTTTGAACTATTTTTGGGTTTATAATAATTAAAAATCAATTTAAAAACAATCTCTGGACCGAGCGTCATTTTTGGAAAAGTACAGGGGTCAAAACGCATGATCCAGAGCATTTATTGAAATACTTTTGAATACAACCGGGCCGCGGGTTTATTTCGGGGAAACATAGGGGCCTTTGTGCTAAAGTTTCACCGGTGGTCAACGTTGACTGGGTCGTCGCCGTGGAGCCACATGGTGGATCGGCATTGGCGGGTTCACGGTGAACCGGCTAGCGTGGCATGGTGGGTGGGGTTCATGAGTCCACCGTGGACAGGTTACGAAGGGGTATGGATCAGATCTAATCTAGCGGCGCCATGACTGGAGAGCAAAGGAGCTCGCCGGCGTGGTTAGCTTGGGAGATTCCGTCCACCCTATGACACGGGAAGAACACGGGAAGTAAGAGAAGCTTGAGGCAAGCTCGATGGAGGGGGCTAGGGCGGCTGCGACGGCTTGGAGGCGAGCTCGAGCACGTTTTGGCAAATCGGTTCACTGGCGGAACTATGGCGACGCGACACCGGTGGTAGGAAGCGACGGAGTGGGCGAGAACGGTACCTGCAGGTTACACACCTTCACGCGAAGCTCGAGGATGCAGTTGCGGAGGTAGAGAAGTGGCGGCTTGACGAGCGCGACGGCGACGGCGCTGCAAGCTTCGAAGCGAGGGCGGCGCAAGCTAGGGTACCGGTGGCGACTCGAAGGCGGCTAGGTGAGGGCGGCGCGATGCGGCTTCGGCTTTTATGAGACGGGGCGGCATGGGCAGCACGGCAAGGCACAAAGATGGGGCGAGCGTGAACTCTCGGGCGACGGCGGCGATGATTTCCATCGGGGCAGAGCCCGGCTTGGACACGGGAGGAAGAAGGGTGGGCGGCTAACGCGTGGGCCCATGGTGGCAGCGTGATCAGCAGAAGGAGAGGATCTGCGGATGCGGTGTGGCGGTAGCGGTGGCCGGGCTGCGACTTTGGTAGGTAGGCCGGCCCAAGAGCGGGACGTGGGGAAGAAAAGGGAAACAGGCCGCTGCTGGGCTGCGGGGAAGAGAAGGGGATGGGCCAACGGCTTCTAGGAGAGAGGGAAGTGAGGGGGGGAAGATTTGGGCCAGGCCGAACGACTTGCTGGGCTAAATACAGAGAGAGGAGGAGAGAGGAGTAAAGAAATTCTTTTTCTCATTTTCTTTTTTTCATTCTCAAACCAAATTCAAATATGAATCAAATCAAATTTGAATAAGGTTTCAAATACACTTTTCAAATTAATTAAAAATAAGAAATTTTGGTAAGTTCTCGAAAATAAATTTTACAACCTTTTTAAATCCTTTTATTTTAAAATTTTCTTTTGTTTTCCTGAATTCTATTTTCAAACCCATTTTCTAAAAACATTTTAAATAAATTTGAATTTGGATCAAACCACTCATCACAATAAACAAAATGCGATGGCATGAATGCACAAAAATGTTGCTAACCCTTATGTTAAATTTTAATATAATGAAATTTTTATTTTCTATATTTTCATGAGCACAAAAATTCACAAATAATTCATTTTAATCATATTTTCAAAAGTACAAATTTTAGGGTGTTACAGCCACTTTGAGAAAATCTGAAAGTATGAGACTAGTCAAACTAATTCTTCTCTTTTTCCTAGTTTTGTGTTGTCTTTTATTTATTTTGATTTGATGTCTTAGGTGATTTGCTTGATCTTCTAGCAACTTGTCATTTTGATCTTCCTTTGGGTTTGGGGTACTTTAACCTCAGTACACCTTCTAACATCCATGAGTAAATCCTTTATACTAGCAAATGTTGTTAGCTCAATTGAATATGTTGTCATACAATCATCAAAAATCACATTATGCTGTACAAGGGTACTTGATCCATAAAAGTACCCATCCATGTTACGAATGAACTTTAGAAAAAGCGAATCATACAATGGGAGACCAAAATATAAGTATACTACACTCTATACTTACAAACAACAATATAACTTCATTATTTACTATATTAATTATATAAATTGTAAATAAGACTCTAATATCCATATTAATTATGAGTGTATCATTATTCACTAAAAATACAACATGAGCAGTATATCATCAGTCATATAAAGTCATAGTGATAAGTTTTGGATAGTTTTACCTAGTATTAAATTTTCACTAGCACAGATGGCATCATATATCAACCTTATTTTTAATGATCTAGAATCAAATAGAAAAATATAAGAAAAAATGGATTAGAATACATCTATTTTAGTATCTATATTATTGAAATATGATATAAATATAGATATCTATATTCAATTTTTAGTGAATACAGATTTGGATAGTCTAGTTTTATGTTAGCCATCTCCACATCTGCAAAGAAGAGAATAACTGCCTTTAGTTCATAATTAGAGAACGGCTTAGAACCTAGGAAGGTGAGATAAATCTATCATTGATTAATTGCTTGTTTTTGTAGCATTAATGGTACTGGGTGCTCCATTTGTCTCTAGTCCATAAGGGAATAACTTCATAGCTTCATCAAAGTCAAACCATCATAAGTTTGATTAAGTTTACACTCCTATATAAATAGAAGTATTGAAATTTATGTGACCAGATAGGTATACTATAAACTATATTACATGACAAAATTGAATGGCAATAACATATCATAAATATTAGTATTTTTTATAATTTGGTCAAACTTGTAACGGTTTGTCTGTTCCTTGATTTAATTCAAGCTATAGGTCATTCTTTTTAGACGTAGTGACTAGTGAGTATGGGCTGGCTTTGTGACCGGTCAACAACTTCAGTACGTCACTGCATCAAATCCGTTGCCGGGAGCGCGTCCCTGCCAAAGACATATTTCCGTCAACCCATGTAGTTGTAGCCACGCAGCTCTATTTAAACACACTCCCGAGTCCCGGCCGAGCTGCAACTGCAATACCATCCGTCGAGAGCTCACATAGCAATGGCCTGCTCTGCGTCTGCTCCGCCGGGTCGTGCCGCAGCAGCAGCCCTTCTCCTGCTGGCCTCCATCGTCTGCTGCTGCCGCTCGGCGCCGCCGGGTGCGCTCGTGACGCATCTCCCCGGGTTCGACGGCGCCCAGCTGCCGTCGAAGCACTACGCCGGGTACGTGACGGTGAACGAGACTGTCGGGAGCAGGCTGTACTACTACCTGGTGGAGTCAGAGCGCGACCCGGCCCGGGACCCCGTCGTGCTCTGGCTCAACGGCGGCCCCGGCTGCTCCAGCTTGGACGGCTTCGTCTACGAGCACGGTGCGTCGTCGACCTTGCTTGTTCTCCACTTCTCCGATCCGGTGTGCTATTGTGTGATTTTTTTCCCCCCAGCCATCGATCATTGCTAGGTCTATGTGCGTCGTCGGCTCTGATGTTTTCTATGTATTTCGACTTTCGCGGCCTGTTTTTGGATGAGCCCTGGCCTGAGGATTCTGCTTGCAGCATGTATAGCCACGCGCTCCTATCCACCGCCGTCTTCTCTTGCCTGTCAGGCCATAGCTAAACCAGTAGATTTGCATATTTGTCCTCTATTTGACACCACTTATTATAAATGACATCCTTGGAGGCCGAGTGGAACCGCCATACAAATTTCCTTGGCAGTTTGCTACAAGCCCTAAGGAAATGATAAGTTTCGTCGCAAAAAAGAAGGAAATGATAAGTTCCTTGGCGGTTGAATTTTGGCACTGAAGGAAATCCTGAACCCCCAAGGAATTTCCATTTTGGTGTAGTGATATATTTGTACTAATGTTATTACTCTAATATGACAAATTAAATCATATTGCAGAGATATGTTCTCCATTATTGTAGCATTTTTTTCAAGTACAAGTAGTTTCGCCTTTGCTAGAAAACCTACGGTATAGTAAATACTGAAGCCCAGCTTCTGTTGTTATTATGCGTAGTACTCTACCAGAAGAATATCTCATTCAGAGAAAGATCAAAGCTTGGGTGTGTCGACTGACATTCTTTTCATACACACTTCATCTTATTGTTCAATGTTTCAGCACATTTATCATTTGTTTTCTTTTATAAATGTTCAATATTAATATTATAATAATCGCATCCATTTTATCACATTGCATGCGGCCAATTTATTATATCCTATCCAGTACTGGATGTGCATCAAGAATTAGCGTGTGCTGGTAAAAATAAAGTTCAGTGTTAATATTTTGTTCCAATATTTGACTTTATATCTGAATTAATTCATCGCATATCTTTTTTTGTAACAACAACGAGAAGTTGTGTGCTTTTTCTATTTTATTTGGTCTTATGCATCTATATGACCACATATAACTGCTGCTGTAGTGTGTCAAATGTACGCGCATTCTCACACATTCGTCACTTTGATCCTTTGATGCCAATTAGTCGGTGTTGTTTTGGGCTCAGGACCATTCAACTTTGAGTCAGGAGGGTCAGCTGGAAGTCTGCCAAACCTTCATCTCAACCCTTATAGTTGGTCCAAGGTCGTCGGCCATTTCCATTGGTATCCTAAGTAATAGGCATAAATTATCTGTAGTTCTAGACAAATTAGTGAAGTTTTCCTTGCAGGTGTCTAGTGTAATATACTTGGACTCCCCTTCCGGTGTTGGGCTGTCATACTCAAAGAATGTTTCATATTATGAAACTGGCGATCTTAAGACAGCTTCTGATTCGCATACTTTTCTTCTCAAGGTATATTTTTTTGATAAGGAAGATTTTATTGATTTTCAAGTGCATTACATCGAGGTGATACATATAAAGATGTTATTTCATCTTGGTGCAGTAATGTATTTTTGTTGATTCGTATCATCCTTTTGTTGAACAAAAAGCTGAGATTCCTCCTCTATTTTTAACCAGTGGTTCCAGCTCTACCCGGAGTTCCTGAAAAATCCATTTTACATAGCTGGAGAGTCTTACGCCGGAGTTTATATCCCTACCCTTGCAAATGAAGTGGTCAAAGGTGTTGGCTTTGAGATCATAATCACTTAAACACCTATTGATTGTTTCTATATTATTCGTGTTGCTAACGAATTATTCTACAGGAATCCACAAAGGAGATAATCCAGTTATAAACTTCAAGGTTAGTGATATCTCTTTTGTTGTTGTTTCCATAAATTGCGTATGTCATTACCATTCAAATCTATGAAAGAGGTTTGTTTCCTTGGACATTTTCGCCAAGAATGAATGGAGGATCAGAGCAATAAATACTTTGTGTGTGATCATTTTTCCTCCTTGTGTTCTCTTTTACTTTTTACTTGATCTTGGTTAGCTGAAAACGTTGTAAGAATTTGGCTATATGTGGTTACAGAGCGAAGAAAGAATTTCTTTTTCTAAAAAATAATGTAAATCTAGAATTAAGGTTAGCTTTATTTTGTACTCTCATGTTAGGGCTACATGGTTGGGAATGGTGTATGTGACAGCGCCTTTGATGGTAATGCTCTTGTACCGTTTGCGCATGGAATGGGCCTAATTTCAGATGATATATATAAGGTATGTCGGTACTTCGACTGAAAACTCTCAATGAAATTTCCTTTTGCCTTGATTTTTAGTGATGGATTGGTGATATCAGAACACGTCCTTCGCATCCTTTGTATATGCCAAATAATACTTAAACATCATATGTCCTTTGAAATAGACCCATGTTCTTTCAATTAACCACCATTACTATTCATAATGCAGCAAGCAAATACTGCATGTCAAGGAAACTACTGGAATTATTCTGACAGTGGAGAATGCACCGAGGCAGTGTCGAAAGTCGATACGGTAAACCAGTGACACTATCTAGTAAAAAATCGATAGTGTTCTCATGTTATATATTATGTTCTTTGTAGGTAATCAGCGGATTAAATATTTATGACATTCTTGAGCCGTGCTACCATGGCACAAATACCAAGGAAGTTAACTCACAAAATAACAGAATGCCTCAAAGTTTTAAAGATCTTGGTGTAACTAGCAGGCCCCTTCCGGTAAGAACAAGAATGATTGGACGGGCATGGCCTTTGAGAGCTCCTGTAAGAGATGGGCGCGTTCCATCATGGCAAGAGCTAGCCGCTGGCACTGGATCATCAGTTATGTGTATGGTGAGCACAAGCACAATAACCTTTGAACCTTTATGTTCTCTTGTGATCTATTGGAGCGTTAATCTTCTTGATGAGATATTATGCTTTTTTACATTTGTGGCTTCCATCCTCTTTATTTATAAATTTGGCCACTAGTTTCTATCAAAATACAAAAAGCTAAAAAAAATAGTGAAGCAATGCAAAAAAAAAATCACCATGAAGAATCTAGGAATAATTTGTTCATGTGGCAAATCTAGGTATATGTTTCTGTATAGTAGTCAATGCGCAAAACTTTCCACTGTAGACTACATATTGACTAAATTTTGGTATATAGTTATTCTAATGTAGTAATGTAGTGTACGACTGATATATTGCGATAGGTATCCTTCATTTCGTTTATCTTCATCTTCTCTGATTATTATATTGTATAAGGCATATCTTCCAACTGAAGATTTCTGCGATCTTGTCTGATTTACATTCCTTTGGATGTATGCATTTTCCATCTCAAATTAGAGTATGTAGGAGTTATTTTAATTTTTCTCCCAACAGAAGCTGGTTCATTATCCCAATTACTTATGTGCCTACTTATGTATCGTGTCTTCTTTCCTTATTAATCTTCAGAGTGATGAAGTTGCAACAACATGGCTAAACAATGATAGCGTCAGATCTGCGATTCATGCAGAACCAGTATGATAGCCATACACTGATCACCTTTTACTTGATGGTTTTAATTTTAGAACTTTCCATCTTCTCAACATAGTTTATCTTGCACAGGTCAGTTCAATTGGACCTTGGATCCTATGCACAGATAAATTGATATATCACCATGATGCTGGGAGTATGATCATTCATCACAAAAACCTTACAAGCCAGGGTTACCGTGCTCTCATTTACAGGTACTTTAAGAATGCATAATATGCTTTCGAATCGCACATTCTTATTAACCTCTGAAGAAGCTCCTATTATCATTGATATATTTCATTTAATTTGCATTTGTTTCAGTGGTGACCATGATATGTGTGTACCTTACACTGGGAGCCTAGCATGGACCACATCTTTAGGCTATGGAGTCATTGATTCGTGGCGAGCGTGGTTTGTTAATGAACAAGTTTCTGGGTATTTGACAAACGATCATTCTGTCATAAGATTTTTGAATCGTTTTCTTTATCCCAAAAACTGGATTTTTTTATATAAATTCATAATCAGCACAATATAATATTTCTTTTGTGAGAGTAATATTCAGTTAAATGATTGTCTTTTCTATTTCCATAATTTCAAGCAAATGTTTGTATGTATCGAGGAAAGAAACTAAGGACATGTAGCTCATGTATCGTTTGTTATATTCCTCAGGTACACCCAAGGATATGAAAATGGCCTCACTTTTGCTACTATTAAGGTACTACAGTTTCTAATTAGTCTAATAATCCCTTGATGTACAAATGAGCACGATACTAGCCTACCAAATCAAACATAAATTATGTTCAATGATATGGTCACATTTTACTGAAACACCAAAACAAATCGAAGCTTCGAGATTAGGTTGCCATTAATAACTGTCATGTTTTTCTCACAGGGTTCTGGGCATACAGTTCCTGAGTATAAACCACAGGAAGCATTTGCTTTCTACAGCCGTTGGCTTGCTGGTTCTAAACTGTGAAGCTCATGATGCAGCTGCTGCTGATGGGAGCCATATTTCTGTTCGAAGTCATGCAGTGTTGAATCAAATAGAGAACAGTGTGAACAAAATTGGTTAACCCAGGCAACAAATAAGAGGCAGACGAAGGATCAAAGTACCTAGCGCCAACTACAATGCTGCATTCTATGCAAATATTATGTCACTAATGCAGATGTTCACATGCATTATTGCTCACGCCTTTACGGTGTGACCAAATATTTGTGACAATTTTGATTTGTTTTGAAATCCGAAAGGTACAAATTAAAAGTCTGCTATATTTGGCTTGGGTCCAAAATAAGTTTCGGATAGTGTTGTTAAATAACTCTCTCCCTCTCTTGGGAAAGATACATGAGGGCTACTTTGGCAACTCAGGGTGATTAACCCAGGGAAGAAAACCAAGGGAGAGGGATTTTTGTGGACATCGTAATCCCCTCCCCGGCTGGAGGTGAGATTTCACGGGAGGGGCCATTCCCCTGCTGCTATTTGGAAACATTTTTCCCATGGGTGTCCACCAGTGTCGGAGATAAGCATGCGCTGAGGTCTGGCAAGCGGTGTTGTCAGGGGCCGTCACGCTAGCGAGACAAGGAGGACTGCCCAGTGTCCAAAGACCGGGCGTGTTTCCGCATGGAAATTCAGCTGCCTCGTGCCAGAGAGCCCCACCCAGCATGCTTCCAAACATGCAAACTAGATGGCCCCTGGGAGTTTACCGCGTGGAATTTCTCCACGGGTAAAAGGCCGGGAACCCCGCGGGAAACCGTGTTGCCAAAGTAGCCCTGAAAGATTGGATTTTATGAGGGGTTTCAAAATCTATCTGTCCAATGTTCTCATTTAAGTTCACAAACTCTCAGTTATATATTTGATACTTGGGAGAAGTCTTTTTTTGCCACTCAACTATATTCAGAGTTTGATTTTAGCCATCTATATATCCAACTCTAAATTCAATTTGGGCACTGAAATAGTTAAACATGGATGACAAGTGGCAAAAGGGTCCACTCTTACCTTTCCCTTCTCGGCCCCCGTCGGTGTCTCCCCCTTCTCACCACTACTGCACAAAGATTTTCACTATCGGTTGGGAAACCCTCATTACCGCCAGTTTCGCCTCTCGTTGATGAAAGTGGGCAGTTATTGCCACTACTACACAAAAAAAATCACTATTGGATGGGAAACCCTCATTTTCACTATCAGCTTGATCTTTTCTCCCACCTTCAGAATAATGAAGTATAGATAGACATATGTATTCTTTGTTCGAATTTTTTGAAAGGTAAATATTTCGATTTTGTTTCTTTCATAACCCCTAGATGATGTAGTCAACTATGGGTTCGAGTTCACTCCTAACCACAACTCATCCGCTGATTCCTCAACAATAGTCTACATACACTATGCTTAGTTTCATCCAAGCTTCATCCTAGTCAGGGATAGATCACCCAGATTCGGGTCCATAAGCGGTGACAATTGACCTACTAAGACTCGCTTTCACTACGACTATGGTGGATTCCATTCCCTTAACCAAGCCACTGCCTATGAGTTATCGGCTCTGTAACACCCCGGCCCATTAGTAGCCTATAGTAGTTGTGAAGTTGGCCCAAGTGGCCCAAGTGGCTTATATGTGGTTGTGGTTGGTGGGTTTAGTACCACCTTAGAAGTTTAGGAGGGTGAGGGCCATCTTATAATTCCCGTCGTTCCAAACGTAGCACCTCCAGGTTAACCCTTTTCCACGAAGCAAGGACGAAAGTTTAAGAGATGTGCTACGCGTATGCAGGCCCATTCCACGTGAGGAGCTAGGCCATATAAGCAGTTTTGTATGTAGGATGTTACAGATAGTATCGGAGCCTCAACCCTTGTTGCACGTGCCCGTGGAGGGGTGTACCAAGGGGTGGTCCTGGACATCTAGCCACATATATGTGGTGAGATGCCGAGGGCGTCAGCCCTTAAGGGGGGTGAATGTAACACCCTAGCCCATTAGTAGCCTATAGTAGTCGTGAAGTTATCCCATGTGGCCCAAGTGGCTTATATGTGGTTGTGGTTGGTGGGTTTAGTATCACCTTGAAAGTTTAGGAGGGTGAGGGCCAGCTTATAATGCCCGTTGCTCTAAACGTAGCACCTCCGGGTTAACCCTTTTACACGAAGCGAGGACGAAAGTGTAGAGGTGCTATGCGTTTGCAGGCCCGTTCCACGTGCGGAGCTAGGCCATATAAGGAGTTTTGGATGCGGGGTGTTACAGGCTCATTCTTCCACAAGCCTGTGGTTAAAGATCACTTTCCCCTCCCACTACTTGGGAGCTCAGCAAGGTTTCATGTTTTATTTCACTATGCGCTGGTTTTTTCTTTCACCCTTCCCTCATGGTACTTGTGATATTTCTATTTGAAAATCACCAACATATCTACGGCTGAAAGGTCCCGTGAGCACCCGAGGGGGTGGATAGGGTGTCTAACCAAAACTTAAAACCCTAGGGCTCAAATTAAACTACCACTAGAGAAAACACACATAAATTACTTTAGCAAGACGTGCACTTAAGGTTTTCCTAGTGTACTCTAAATTACCCTTAACCCACAAAGAAATTCATGGCATAGAGCCAATCCTATCAACTAGCCTATAGCTAATCTAGGAAAGTAAATGTCACACAAGTGAAATACATGCAGAAGCAATAAATGCAATATGTAAAGAGCTAAGGTAGTGAAGGCAAACTCCTAGAGATGCAACAATGTATCCCATGGTATCGGTTGCCAAAACAAAACCCTAATTCAAGTTGGAGCTCCACCGAGGTATGTTGTCGGTGGGTCACCAATCTCTTCCAATCATGGTGTTGGATATGCCAGACAAGGCACCAACCAACCAAAGGCTAGTGTCATGAATTGCACAATCTCACCATCGTCACCTAGCTCTTTCGGTCAACTTGACATTGTCTCCACTACAAAAGCTTTTTGATACAAGGTAGGGGGTCTCCTTGTTCCCCACACCCCGATACGCCACTCTACACCAAGAATGGGGAATCGCCACCTCGAAGGCCACCACGCTGTCACCAGGACGTCATGAAGACCTCAAGTGCTCCAAACTTCCAAGATACAAGGGCAATACGATGGCTCAAAGTGCTCAAGCACTAAGGTCTAAACCTCAAAAGGATGTAGTATAGTGTCTATCCTAGACTTGGATGTGATCTTGAATTGACATCCGACAGTAGTGTGGAAACACTTGTTCTAAGTTCACTGGTAGAGAACCGAGCTTTACTCCCGGTGGGGAACCCCCTCTAATCCCGGTTCCCCACCCGGGAGCAAGCATTCGGGACTAAAGGGGGGGTCCTTTAGTCCCGGGTCAGGAATCGGGACTAAAGGAGGACCTTTAGTCCTGTGGTAACCCAACCGGGACTAAAGGTGCCTCTGACATGCCTCACGATAGCCGGCACCTTTAGTCCCGGTTAGTAATCTGAACCGGGACTAAAGGTTTTTTTTTTTTTCTTTTCTTTTTATTTTTGTTTTCTTTTCAAAATAGGTTTTCAAGTCGTATTATGCGCTGCTAATTATACATTTATACGCGCATATAGTATGTTTCGGTTCAAGCACAATGAACATATTAAATCACACAATTCAAGCATAGAAATATATATATATATATATATATATATATATATATATATATGAATGCATGCATCATATATATATTTACATGCATGCATGCATATGTATATTTTACATTATATTATTTCATGTGCATATATTACAAAAGATTGCATTACAGATTTGTTGTGACATAACAAGTTTCCTCTCATCCTCTAGCTTGGCTTCAATGGCGGTGTTGGGTCAAGTAGAACTCGCCCTTGGAATCGATGACTGCTCATTAAAAAATCCGGCTATAGACTCTTGAATTGCTTTGATTTGGTCTTGCCGTATGACCTTTTCCTCCAACCATCGAGTCTACAGGTTTGAATTAAAGGAAAATAAATTAATATATGTACATATATATATATATAAGACATAGTAACACAATCAATAATAATAATTAAATGAATATATAGTGTATTTTAACGTGCTTTGAGTCTCTCTGTGGGAGTTCTTTGGGAGAGCACCTTGATAAACTTGCAAACATAGTAACCACGATGAGTTGTTCCCTGTTCCCGCCTTAGACACCACTTTTACGAGAAAAAGATTTGTCATCCAATCTGGTGATCCGGTGAAAGCTATATGTTTAATTAATAAAGATGATGCGATTCGAGGACTTACTTTCAAAGGGATTACATTCGGTGGCGCTTTGCATTTTTCCATGTGTTGCTTCTCAATAAAGGTTTTCCAAACACCTGCCCCAATAAAAATTTGCCACGTCATAAGATATAGTTAATCATCATGTTTGTGTGTATATATAGTTGCTAGAGATCCCGAAATTACCTCTAGATAATATCTATCATATCTTGGTAGTCTTGTTGTGGTTTTCTCATCGAGTCATAGATTATCAAGTGACTTTTCACTTATCGATGTCCATCAATATCCAATGATTCTTGCATGTGTTTATAGGATATAACGCATAACACTCATTAATTAACTAGAATCAACATATGAGCCATTAAGGATATGATCGACATGATTAACACTCACTTGAAGTTATAGGGAAAGAGTATATCCTTCTTGTGGCGTTGGTTCACTAAGAAGTTCATGAGGTTACTCTCAAACTTCCAATTAGTCTTTGGAGTAATTGGGTCTTGAATACTATATGGGGATCAACAAAACCAATTTCATTGCAGCCTTCCTTTCTACGAGCTCATCATTGTAAATCTGCATATATATAGTACTTGTTAGGATAATTTATATGCATATACACACATATGATGAGTTTAATAATAGATCAAAAGAATTATTACTTACAGCAATAGCAACTAATGATAACTTTGTCCGGAGAGGTCGGTGGCATAGTTGATGAAATTCTCGCAAAGTCAACATACATAACATCATCGCCACGGAACCAATGTTCGTCTCTAATTACGACACCAACGCAGA